TGCTTGCCATCTAATTATCATTCTTATTAAGGTAATCTCTTTTCTTTCTTCTAGTACTTAATATCTTCTCTTTATCTTTGATGTTCTTCAATAGTAGAGAGTTCTTGCTAGTTATTGCTTTATTTATTTATTCTCTGTGGAATTTGTTTTAGTTGGACATGAAATTCATGCCTTTATAAATTCTAAAAGTTTCTTGTCAATTTCTTTTTGAATTTTACCTCACCTCTCTTCTCTTCTCTACGTTCAAGGGGCTGATAAGATATATGTTGAACTTTCTTACTCTATTTCAAATTCTGTGAGCTCCTTCTAGGATTCCATTTGTACATTTATATAAGAATGTTTTAACTGTATTGCACATGTCTCTTACATTCCTTTTAATATTTTTACCCTTTGTTTTCTTTTTGTATTTCAGTATAAATATAAATCACTCTAAGGAGCTCTGGTGGCTTAGTGCCTAAGGCATTTGATTGCTAACCAGAAGGTTGGCAGTTTAAACCCACCAGCCACTCTGTGGAAGGAAGACTTGGTTATTAATCATTCTGATTAACCAAGTCTAAAACTAACCAATATTTCAGTTTTTCAAGCCTGCCTCTGCTTTATTTGCTTTTAAACATACCTACTGAATTCTTAATTTCAGTACTTATTGATTTCTAGAATTTCCATTTGAGTCTTTCAAAATTCTGTATAGTAGCAAGTTCTCTGATGACATTCTCTATTTTGTCATTTGTTTTCTTACCTGTATCAATTATAATTTTTTCTAAGCGTTGTCCAATAATTCCAGTGGGTAGATCGATTGGATTTGTCCTTGTTTTTCCTCTTTTAGTTCATTTGGTATTGTCTCATGACATGTGTGGTAGGTTAAGTCGTATCCTCCAAGCTCCCCAAATACATTGAAATCCTAACCACCAGTACTGTGAATGTGACCATATTTGGAAATAGGGCTTTTGCAGATGTAATTAGTTAAGTTAACCTGAGGTCATACTGAAGTAGGGTGGATCCTACTTCAGAATGACTTATGACCTTATAAAAGAGGGAAAGAGACCAAAAAAATACAGAGGGAAGATGGCCATGCAAAGAAAGAATCAGAAATTAGAGTTATGGTACAGCAAGCCAAGGAATACTTGAGGCTACCAAAAGCCAGGAGCCAAGGAAGACTCTTTTTCTAGAGCCTTCAGAGAAAGCATAGCCCTTGGATATGTACTTCTAGCCTCCAAGATGGTGAAAAATAAGGTTTTGTTGTTTTAAGTCACCCAGTTTGTGATACTTTTTATATAGCAGCCTAAAGAAACTACTGCAGTGTGCCTGGTAGTTTTTCATTGAGTTCTATACAATTTATGTGAAAAATTACAGAGACTTTGGATATTCTCTCCTGGGGAGATAATTTATTTATTTATTTTTTGGACTAGTTATAATAAGGGCAGGTCCAGTCAGTGATTGAGGTAGTTTAAGATGAGGTTTCATTCGTAGCTGTTCTATTTCCAGTTTGCCTTTGTTTCAAAGACGTAATCCTTCAAGATTTTTCAGCTGAAGGCTTTACTTACTTTAGTTACCTCCTCTTGGTAGGCCCTCAATTCTTAGTTTCCCTGTGAATCCACTGAAAACTCTGCTTAGTGCTTTAGCCTTTTGACAGCTTATTGTGATTGATTTCTTGCTCTTGAACAGCATAGAATTCAGCAAGTGCCTTAGGGGTCAAAACCATGCAGAGTATCAGATTTATTCCTCTTTCGTCCACTTATCTCTGGAAAATATTATTTTCAAGTCTTGGCTGTTTGAGTAGCCCTGAACTACATTTTTGTCTCCCAATCCCAGTGGAACTGCCATAAGCTCTAGGCCATAACATTCTACTTATTCCAAATACCCTGAGAGGAACACCTGATTGGAAATGTTTAACTCACCTCAGTTCATTTCCCTTCTCTCCAGAATCCTATTTCCTTAAATCCTGACTGTGTCAAATTACCTTACCTGATCTCTGATCTATTCAAAGAGCTGTTTTATATAAAAAGATAAATAAATAAAGATTTTCTATTGTTTAAATTTTATAGAATTCTCTATACAGCTCTGGGAGATGAGAGCTTTGGTGTAATATTTTTATGCTTTATTCAGCATTTTTAGGTGTTCCATAGGCAAGGGTTTAGAGACGATCTAAAAAATAGATTCATTGAATACCAATGACCGAAAACCAGAAGAATGGTGGAATGACAGCAAGAACATCATCCATGAAGAGAACAAAAGGTTATTAAAAAGACAGGAAAGGGAGAAAAGACCAAAATGGGTGTCAGAAGAGACTCTGAAACTTTCCCTTGAATGGGGAGTAGCCAAACCAAATGGAAGAATTGACAAGATAAAAGAGCTGAACAGAATATTTCAAAGAGCAGCTCGAAAATACAAAGCCAATTACTATAATGAAATGTTCAAAGACCTGGAGTTAGAAAACCAAAAGGGAAGAACACACTTGGCATTTTTCAAGCTGAGAAAGAACTGAAGAAAAATTTCAAGTCTCTTGTTGCAATATTGAAAGATTCTATGGGCAAAATATTGAATGATGCAAGAAACATCAAAAGAAAGTGGAGGGAATATGGAGTCACTGTACCAAAAAGATATGGTTGATGTACATCCATTTCAGGAGGTGGCATATGATCAAGAACCAATGATATTGAAAGAAGAGGTTGAAGCTGCATTGAAGGAAGTGGAGAAAAACAAGGCTTCTGGAATTGACAGAATACCCATTGAGATGTTTCAACAAATGGATGCCACACTGGAGGCATTCACTCAGCTATACCAAGAGATTTGGAAGACGACTACCTGGCCAACTGACTGGAAGAGATCCATATTTGTACCCATTCCAAAGAAAGGTGATCCCACAGAATGTGGAAATTATCGAACACTATCATTAATTTCACACACAAGTGAAATCTTACTGAAGATAATTCAAAAACAGTTGCAAGCAGTATATTGACAGAGAACTTCCAGAAATGTAAGCTGGATTCAGAAGAGGAAATGGAATGAGTGATATCTTGCTGATGTCAGTGGATCTTGGGTGAAAGCAAAGAATACCAGACAGATGTTTACTTGTGTTTTATTGACTATGCAAAAGCATTTGATTGTGTGGATCATAACAAATTATGGGTAATGTTGCGAAGAATGGGAATTCCAGGACACTTAATTGTGCTCTTGAGGAACCTGTGCATAGACTAGGAGGCTGTCATTTCGAGCAGAACAAGAAGACACCGCATGGTTTAAAATCAGGACAGGTGTGTCAGGCTTGTATTCTTTTACCATACTTATTCAATCTGTATGCTGAGCAAATAATCCAAGAAGCTGGACTGTATGAAGAAGAGGGTGGTGTCAGGATTGGAGGAAGAATCATTAACAACCTGTGATATGCTGACAACACAACTTTGCTTGCTGAAAGTGAGGATGACTTGAAGCACTTACTGATGAATATTGATTGAAGACTACAGTCTGTAATATGGATTACATCTCAATATAAAGAAAACAAAATTCTCACAACTGGACCTATAGGCAGCATCATGATGAAGAAAAGATTGAAGTTGTCAAAGATTTCATATTGCTTGGTTCTGCAATCGACACCAATGGAAGCAGCAGTTAGGACATCACACGATGTATAACACTGGGTGAGTTGGCTGCAAAGGACCTCTTTCAAGCACTGAAGAGCAAAGATGTCTCCTTGAGGACTAAGGTGTGCCTGACACAAGCCATGGTATTTTCTATCACCTCATATGCATGTGAGAGCTGGACAATGAATAAGGAAGAATGAAGAAGAATTGATGCTTTTGAGTTGTGGTGCTGGCTAAGAATGCTGAAAGTACCATGGACTGCTTAAAGAACTAACACATCTGTCCTAGAAGAAGTGCAACCAGAATGCTGCTTGGAAGAGAGAAGGGCCAGACTTTGTCTCACCTACTTTGGTCATGTTGTCAGAGGGATCATTCCTTGGAGAAGGATATCATGCTTGATAAGGTGGAGGGTTGACGAAGGAGGTGAAGACCCTCAACGAGATGGATTGATGCAGTGGGTGCAGCGATGGGTTCAAGTATAGCAAGGATCATGGAGCTGGTGCAGGACTGGGCAGTGTTTTGTTCTGCTGTGCATAGGGTCACTATGAATGGGAGATGACTCCATGGCACCTAACAACAACAACAACAGCTCACATAATTTATGTTCTTGTCTTATGGTAAGACTTATTAAATGTTATATGTTATTAAATATTATTATGAACTTTAGTATTTCCATAAATATGTAAAACTTCAACATTTTGTTAAGAATAAATTATAAACTTTGATTATAACTGGTGAAACAACTGCATGTATGGCTATTGTATGTGGTGCTGTATAGATCATGCTACAGAAACTCAATAAAATCTGGTCTATTGAAATAGTTAAAAGCACATTCCCCTTTTTCCAACTACATGTGCTTCTTTCTTTAAAGCCCCTATTCTAGAGAAACTAGAACATATTGTATCTTTGTTACTTTTAAATAGCTATAGGAATGCATATTTATGTGTGTCATTTTGCATACAAGCATATATATTGCACCTATGCCTCACTTATCCATGTGGTTAGGTTTCAAAGACCAGGTTATTATGTGAAAATGAGCATTATGTGAGAGTTAGGCCACACCCCATCTTCGGTGCTGGTGTCCCCTTCCCATGCTCATGGCATCTGGTGCCCCTACACATCTTGGGATGCACATGGCATGGTAAGCACCCCTTCCCTACCACACCTGCCCCACCACTACAGAGTGAGTGGAGGTTGGGGAGGTGATGGTAGTGGTCAGGGGTTACCCACCACTTCTAGAGCAGCAGGGGTCCACCATCACCTGACCATGCTCCAGTCCTCAGCACAGAGCCCAGCACCTCACCTTATATTGTCATAAATGCAAAATGTTGGATAACAAGATCATCTATAAGTGAGGAGTATTAGAATTTAAAGTTTTTGTATTTTGCATAAAGTTACTTAACAATTTTTTGCCCTTTGTAGGAGGATACTCCATCGAGACTTGAAATCAAAGAATATATTTCTGAAAAATAACCTACTTAAAATTGGTAAGATTTTTTTTTTTTTTTTCTATTATCTGTCCAAGCACATGTTGTTGTTATGTGCCGTCGAGTCAGACCCAACTCATAGCGACCCCTCCTTGGATTTTCAAGGCAGTATCACTACGGAAGTAGATTGCCCCATCTTCCTTCTGAGGAGTGGCTGGTGGGTTTGAACCGCCAGCCTTCGGTTAGCAGTCAAGTGCCTTAGGCACTATGCTACCAGAGCTCCAAGCACATGGAAGAGAGCATATTCTAAATGGCATCAGTGTATCAAATTGAAGTATGTGTTATCTAGTAGTACTAATCACTGGTTGATTTAAACTTCTCAAATGTTTGCTCACTCCAGGTTGGCCCCAAGTTAAAAAAAAAAAAATTATTTTGTTCCTGATTATCTGATATCAATTGAGAAAACAGATTTGTTAGACAAGCACTTTGTAGGTAGTTAGGCTATTTACTGGTTTGAATCATTATTGTAAGTTTCTTACTTATTTTATCACTAATAGTAGGCAGTTATCATAGATAATTAAAATATTGATGTGAAAGCATTATTAACCTTTAGTTCTTCTCAGAACTGTAGCCCCACTCATAATAGTTAGTTATTGGATCAATTCATTTTAATGTAGGATAGCCTTAAGGTGGTAGGCATAAAATCATGCAACATATTAGGCAAAAATAGAGAAGCTAATGATTCATATTTTTATGACTGTGTTTTGGAAAAGCCTTGGGTCTTTTATTT